TATATATATATATATATATAATTTGATATTTCCTTAGATAACTGATCGAAGACTCTTTGAAGTCTCTCAAAATTAGTATATGGAACTTAAGTAGAAAATGTAAGGTGAGTTGACAATTTATAAGCGATCAAAATTTAAATGAATATTTAATAAGCAAACAAATCGAATATACATCTCGAACAATTAAGGAACTATTTGTTAATTATTTGGTTCATTTCCACCCTGACAAGCAGGTGTCCTTTTTAATTTGAATAAATAACTCCAGTAGTGACTAAATTTCTCCAATTGTCTCTAAGAGGTTTAAGGACATAAAGTTGAAACTTCACTCCAATTTGCTTATTTCCAACATGTGATGATGTTTTACATTTAGAAGTTAAGCTTGTAATCATAAACTTATTCATATTTAGGTACTCAGCACATTAGTCGTTTATACATCACTTTTTTAAATCTGAAAAATCCATGCACATAGATTACATCAACAAAACCAAATCTTCGATATGTCACCTAATGAAGAAGCTTTTATAAACAACAACAGAACCCTCATCATTTAGTAATATGGTGTTGGATATATAACAAAACCATTTTTCACTTTATCGCCAATCCACGATTTCCCGTATCAAATTCCAAATCCAGCTCTGCGCTGTAAATCCTTATGCTACCAATAACCTTATGTTTAAAGTTTTCCCCAAAGAAAGGGTTATTTGCACTTAACTATCCCAAAGATTACCTCATTTTTAACTTTGATACCCCAAATTTTTTTTCCCGAAAATGCCCTTAAGTTCAACAAATTTTAACTTTGTAATCCAAAATCAAACAAATATTAACTTTGACACCCAAACTTTAAATTTTTTTTTTTATTTTGGGGTATCAAAGTTAATTTTGTTGAACCTTGGGATATTATTTGGGCGAAAAAAAATTTTGGGGTTATCTAAGTTAAATTTTTTTGAGGTCTGAGGTATTTAGGGCAAGAACAAACTTTGAGATATAAAAGTTAAAAGAGCAGTCAACTGTACAGGTAATGTAAAGAGTCACGGACTAATGGTAAATTTTACCAGCTCACAGTTTCCAAGGATTTTCTTATCACCAGGGTATCCCTACAACCATAACAAATAAAGCATATAAACAGAAAATAAGGGGACTAAACAAGCATAGTACTGAATGATGAACAGAGATGAAGTTACTATCTGCACCTTGAGAAGATCCATTTCCTCTTTGGTTGGACAAAACTTTATAAGATTTTCCACTTGATCAACATCCAAGATAGAATCATCCAATGCTAAAACAGCACTCTGAGGAAACATCTCATTGTCAAAAGCTCCAATTCAAGAAAACATGCTTATAATTCTATGACGAAATGGTTAACTTAGGGCATAATTGTAAATGTAAAACTATGAAATAACATGAAAAAAACATTTGAGTTCTTCATGTGAGACAGAATGAAGGCTGTTGTAAACATCCGATAAGATACATCTCGCAGGATTGTTAAAAATGAAAATCTCTCACATCTCACATTGGCAAAGTAATTTTAACCCAAAAAAAGTGATGTCTAAAATCCTTAGATTAAAGTAACGCTTACAGTACCTAGATTAAAGTTTGTGAATTTTAATAAAATTCTTCGAATGTTGATAAGAAAAATTACTTTAGCTGGCATCCTTCCATGAACTAGACCAAAATCAACTTAAAATTTGACTTCATCAAAATTTCATCTTATCAGAAATTCTATTTTCCAAGTGGAAATCAATGTTTAAAGATCAGCTGGTACCTTTTTTCCAACATCCAAGTAATTTTTCATTGTTAAGTCTCTTGCATTAAGCAATAATCTCACAGATATAGAACATATTAACCAGATTAATTTCACAAACAGTTGCATCAGCCAGCAAGTGCAGCCATTGAATTCCTCTTACAAATGAAGTTTGATTAGCCAAACAATTCGGATATTTTCCTCCAAATCCTTCAACATAATAAAATAACTTGAGTTAAAATGAAAATTCTAGGAAGAAGAAAAAACATGAAAGTTTTCATAAACCTATCATAAATTATTAGGAATTTTACACACATATACTGTAAGTTATTTGTTTAGAGACAAATATCGCAAACTTTTCAGCTTCACATGCTATACAAATGTGGCAAATTTTGGATATCTTTGCTCTTATTTTCTATACGTAACTACTATGTGACTTTCTATCCCTTCTTTCAAAAATATTAAGGATAGTTTTGACTTGCTAACAACATTGGACGTCCTTAATGTGGTTCGGGTGCTTCTCTGATAGTATGTGGTTCTTCTCTATATATATGCAAGTTTGTGGAGTTTTTCTCTAATAAAAATAGTCTATGGTTCATGGACAAAAAGAGCCTAGCAAAAATGAGAATGTTAAGATGGTTTTATGGTTATACACTAAAAGATAAGATAAGAAATGAGCGTAATCGTAGGAGATTTGAAGTTTCTCCTATCGAGGATAAAATGAGAGAGAATTGATGGAAATGGTCTGGCCATATACAACGGAGGCCAATAATGCAACAATTTGAGCAAACAGGACTACAACTAGACCTAAAAGAACTTGGTTATAAACAATTAATAAGGATATGATTAGTAGAACTTGGTTATAAACAAATAATAATGATATGATTAGTAAACTTATCAGAGAAGACGACCCACAATAGAAATGAATGGAAGATTAGGATTCATGTAGCAAAACGCAAAATATTGGGGTATTAGCTTTGTTGTTTGCGTTGTTGTTGTTGCAATAGTTTATGGTAGTTCTGTGCAAAACCCCTAATAGTTCATGCCAATTTTCTTAAATTTACCCAAAAGTGTCCTGCTCAAAATATAAAACTAAAGAGAACTTAATAAGAAGATTAGACATTGCCACAAAGAAAGGACATATAAGATCAAGTGCAATTTTTCAGCCTGTGTAAGTTTCATGACAGTGATAGATCCACATCAAGATTGCACTTAGACTTACCATCATATCAGGAAGTGGAATCTTGACATTCGCCAGCATAATTTCAATGTTATAGGCCCTCTTTAGATCAATCTAGAAACACATATAAAATTGAAACCTACAGTTAGAACTAAAAGAATCAAATATGGACAAAAGAAAACATGATGAAAATACAATTGAGAATCTAAGATGATCATGATGAAATTATACTCCTAACTTCATTTATACAAATATAAAAATGGCCGAATGAATACACGGTATCAAATGCAGCATAGAACAATCAACACGTAAATTATTCAAAAGTTCACTGGCTGGACATGATTCACAGTCATCCATCCACCTCACCATGACATGGTTGACTGAAAGTTTGGGAGGTATACATTCGTATGCACATGTAACATACATTTAGCAAACACAAAAGAAAACACTTAAGGGACATTAGCTTGACCTTCACTGCTGGAGTACAATTGAGAATCTAAGATGAACATAATGAAATTATACTCGTAACATTATTTATACAAAAAGTAAACATGGTCTAATGGATCCACAGTATCAAATGCAGCATAGAACATTCAACGCGTAAAATATTCAAAAGTTCACTGGTCGAACATGATGCACAGTCATCTATCCACCTCACTATGACATGGTTAACTGAAAGTGTTAGATATAGGTGCCCTGCAGGCAATAATTGTATATTGTAACAGAATCTATATGAATATAACATCCTTGTTTAAAATGGTAGTATGCTATTTTGGTCAGATTTATCTGGTATTTTAATACAGATAAAGTCCTTAAAATGATACTAGACTATCAGACATTTTGGATATGATCGTAATGAAGAGATCTGATTTGTCGCTAACGTATATTCTAAAATATTCCTAGTCGATGAAGTGTTGAAATGGGACATCATCACTTTGGGAAGACTAGTGTATACTCTATTTCTCTTTTGGTAGGATGATGATCCATCTCTTGGATCATTGATGTGAGACATCAAGATATAGTATACAGGTGACTCATTAGTGAATGAGTTGACTGAATAACTCACTCAGAACATCTAGTTGGTAATTATACTTAACTGTCAAATAGAAGTTCTCAAGTGATATAGTACATAGTAGTCTCTTGACCTGAGGCATGAGTGTAATATCTTACATGTCAGTATAGATGTACTTAGACTTTTACCTAACCACAGTTCTCATTGAGTTGTGCATAACGGTTCTTATTGGGTGCATCCCGAGACATAAGTAGATATTAAGATGCCAAAATGGGATTCGTCTCTCCCAGTATGAGGGGTTGATGTCATAAGATTGTTTGATATAACTATAGCTAGGAAATCCTTGTCCGAGGTAAATAAGATAAACTGAGTGTCAGTTTGATCTTATAGGTTATGAGTTTAATATCAACAAACACTAATCAAGCTATTAGGGTTTGACAGTTTTCCATACTCTAGGCTTGATATTTTGACATGATTTGACGAAGAGACCGGAGTGTACAATATTATCATTGAGTGGTCCTGATATAATTATGTTAGCATCTTGCAGACATTTATCACAACTTATACCCGGGTAGTCTTCATGTGTAGCTAACACCTCTGTTGTACTTGTGGATATCATCCACTACCAAGTTCTTAAGTTGGGCCCTAGAGTCACACCAAGCGCGTACTTGAATCCTATGAAACACAATTTATAGAGTGATGCGTATGATTGATACGCATATATGATTTTATCGGATACACATAAACAGTTATGTATATCGATAAAATCGGAATGCTATGAGCTTAGGAAATAAATTCTAGTATTTTTCCTATAAAGTTAACTTTTAGTCAACTAGTTGACTTTTTGGTCAACAGTTGACTTTTGGTCAACTCATTGACTTTTTGGTCATATGATGACTTATTAATCAATGATTGGAAAATTACAAAATATCGTATTTATGAAATACAATATTGATTTGGTATTCTCATTTATGAAATACACATACCATGTATAATGAGTCATGAGATGAGTCATTTAGTGGTATGGTTTGAGCACATGGTTTATTAGCACATGGTTTTGAAATGTAATGATTCATAAGATGATTCATTGCATGACTCACTAGATTAATCATTGATATTTGATGATTCATTGCATGACTCATAGGATGAGTCATTCATGTCATGAACACATTTCACTCTATAAATATGAGCTCTCTTTCTTATGGAAAGGTTAATGAAAAATTGGCTAAGTGGTTTTTCCATAAGAGAATAAAAGAGAGCTCTCCTCTTACTAATTTCTAGCAATCTTGAGTAAGAGAAAGTAGTAGGATTTTAAAGTACCCCGGGGTGGATATCTTGCCTTGTGTCTCAAGAAGACTCCGATTTTATCAAGCTCACTTGAAGACTTGGAGATCCACTACGAGGAGATTTACTACTACAAGGAGCAAGAGTTAGGGGTTGTTCGATCTTCCATCGAATCACGCTTCAAAAGTATGACTTTATAACCCTTGTATGCTCTCTTTAATATAGGGATTATGTTAGATTTAATTAGAATGGTCCTATAATGTATTTCATGCTCTCTACATGCATAGCATAATTATACATATAGTCTTCCGTTGCGTATTTTGCATGTATGAAGCATGGATTCCCTTCATGGTATCAGAGCCATGGTTCCATCTAATTAAATCTTAACATGCATATCTAACTCATAGAGGACTTTGTTCTTGCTTCTAATTACTAGTTTAATTAAAAGATGTTTTAATGAAACTAGTTAATTTATTCAAGTTGTTTTGTAATAAATTATACTAGTTGTTGATTCAAAAATGTGATTTTTGGTTCATATGTTTTTAGGAGTAAAAACACTTGTATAAATTGCAAAACATTTATTTACAACTAGTGTAGTTGTATGTTAGAAGCATGATAGTCTTATTTGAGTTAGGATAATCCCTATGTTATCTAGTTTTCCAATTTGTTGCATAACTAGATAGATGCATATTTCTTAATGTTGATTAAGTTATATGTTTTATATCATCTTGCATGGATGTTATGTTTATGGATGGTAGTGGACAACGATTCTCTTGCATTTATTGTATTGATGTAATATAGCTAAAAATGTAATATTATTTTTGACCTCTTTCCTCCCCGAGCACTTCATGTGTAGCTAACACCTCTGTTGTACTTGTGGATATCATCCACTGTCGAGTTCTTAAGTTAGGCCCTAGAGTCACACCAAACGCGTACTTAAATCCTATGAAACATAATTTATAGAGTGATGCGTATGATTAAGACGCATATATGATTTTACCGGATACACATAAACGGTTATGTATATCGATAAAATCGGAATGCTATATGCTTAGGAAATGAATTCCAGTATTTTTCCCATAAAATTAACTTTTAGTCAACTAGTTGACTTTTTGGTCAACTCATTGACTTTTTTGGTCATGTGATGACTTATTAGTCAATGATTGAAAAATTACAAAATATCGTATTTATGAAATACCGTATTGATGTGGTATTTTTATTTATAAAATACACACTTTATTATACCTTGATTAATGAGTCATGAGATGAGTCATTAAGATGGTATGGTTTGGGCATATGGTTTTAGCACATAATTTTGATTCTTCATGACTCTTTGTATGACTCATGAGATGAGTCATTGCATGACTCATGAGATGAGTCATTGCATGACTCATGAAAGGAATCATTACATTTAGATGACTCATGGCATGACTCATGAGATGAGTCATGACATATCTCACCCTATATATATGAGCTCTCTCTTATGGAAAGATTAATGAAAAATTGACTAAGTGATTTTTTCATAAGAGAATAAAAAAGAGAGCTCTACCTCTTACTAAACTCTAGCAATCTTTAAGTAAGAGGAAGTAGTAGGATTTTAAAATATCCCGGGATGGATATCTTACCTTGTGTCTCAAGAAGACTCCGATTTTATCAAGCTTACTTAAAGACTTGGAGATCCACTACAAGGAGGTTTACAACAACAATGAGCAAGAGCTAGGAGTTGTTCGATCTTCCACCGAATCACGCTTCGAAAGTAACCCTTCAAAGCTCTTGGTTTCTCTCTTTTTTATAGGGATCATGTTAGATTTAATTAGGATGGTCCTAGCTTGTTTTTCATGCTCTCTACATGCTTAGCATTATTAAAAAAATAGTCTTCCGTTGCGTATTTTGCATGTATTTAGCACGAATTTCCAACATGGTATCAGAGCTATGGTTCCATCTAATTAAATCTTAACATGAATATCTAACTCATAGAGGTCTTTGTACTTGCTTCTAATTACTAGTCTAATTAAAAGATGTTTTAATGAAACTAGTTAATTTATTCAAGTTGTTTTGTCATTAGTTATACTAGTTGTTGATTCAAAAATGTGATTTTTGGTTCATAAGTTTTAAGAGTAAAAACACTTGTATATATTGCAAAACACTTATTTACAACTAGTGTAGTTGTATGTTAGAAACATAATAGTCCTATTTGAGTTAGGATAATCCCTATGTTATCTAGTTTTCTAATTTGTTGCATAATTAGATAGATGCATATTTATTAATGTTGATTAAGTTATATGTTTTATATCACCTTGCGTGAATGTTATGTTTATGGATGGTAGTGGACAACGATTCTATTGCATTTATTGTATTAATGTAATATAGCTAGAAATGTAATATTTTTTTATGATCTTTTCCCTCCTCGAGCATGGGCTACGCCTACGGGTTAAGGCACTTGCTCACCGATCATGGGCTACGCCTACAGGTATAGGCCCTTGTTCGGGTGTGTGGGGTATGGTTGTTTAGTTTAGTTATTTTATTTATAGCTTTTATTTTATATTCAATGTAATATTATTACCCATCCTACGAGGTGGTTTTTCCATAATAAATGGGGCTTGTACGTCCTATGTATATGTGATTGTAATAATATAGGATTTGCAAGGGAGCTAGCACTGCAATGAGTTACAAATTGCTTACCAAAATGTAATTAGTGTAATTATATTTTATTCTTTTAAGTTGTCCACTACCATTCCATATTGCTATTATATAAGATGTCAATACAATTGGGTGCTATATTCTGTAAAGTTAATATCTCTATCTCACTAGAGAAATA